CCCCAATACCCCCAAGTTGACCTGGACAATGCCTTTAAGCAGTTCAATTTGGCACTTTTCGCTCTTCAAAATCCACGAACCTTTATTCGTACTGTATATTTGCAGACTCGAAAATTTACCTAAATGTTTAATTCTCCATTTCAGGACTATTCCTTCAAAGTCGAATGCGTCCACTTAGGAAGAATAAATTGCATAAAAATTATTGGAAACTTCACGGAGCAAGGTAAGCGGCCAATCTAGAATCGATGATTCATAGATTCTTGGATAAAAGTAGACAATTCCTTAGGTTTCATCTCAGGTAAAACTAAAGCAAAAATTAGGCTGTGCTCGTTTTACAACAAATTTATTACCAAAATTTCAATAAAATTGAGGAATTTATATCGTAATCAACCAATAATTGTACAAGTCAAAAAAATTAAATATTCTAAATCAAGTTTTACTTTTAGTCAAAATTCCTACGAAATTCATAAGCTAAGCATTCTTCTTCAGGGCAAGCCGTCATGGAAGGATTCTCAGTATTACAAGACATTTGGGATAAACATGTAGGAAGTGTAGAAACAGCTGCAAGTGTAAGTTCATGCTCAATGCCCAGGCAAAAAATCGATAATCGATTTTTCCAGATTATGGCTGTATCAGCACATGTTCGGGAATCTACTCACTGCCCATATCGATATGTACTACGAGAAAGTAAAGTTCGTGAACTTGAAGAGGAAAAACCCTACTTCAAAGTGCTCACATTCACTGGTAAGTTGAGGCTGTCCCATATATTATTGATTTATTGATCGTCATTTCCACTAACTGTTTCTATTTTAGACATGGAAGGACTAACTACTCGCAATAAAAAACACAAGTTCACATCAGAGAATGACGATTGGATATTGCAAATGTCCATCGAGGTAGGAACATAGAAAAATCGATATCGATTGATAGGTAATCAAGTGATGATTTTCAGGGGCCAAGCAGGATAATGCCTGAAGTGTCGCTTTGTTCCGGACATCTGTCACATTCGATGGAATATCAGCCTGATGCGTCCTCTGAAGACCTTTATACTTATGGGGTAGGAAAAAAGGTTTATTTTCATTTTCAAATTGATGAAACTATGAAGAAAAATTATAGATGAATGGTCCGACTATTGGGCCCCTCCATAAAGTCCGGGTTGGAGTAGGAGAAATGGAACGAGCAGAGCATGTCTATATCAAAAAGGTAGGACACGCATGTGTAATAGATTTTTGTAGCTGTTGTGCAATTGCGGACCAACAACAGTAATTTCAAAGACGCTTGTGTTTCAGATGCGGCTAGAAAATCAAGTCACAAAGACAATTCTGCGATTCCCAAGTGTTGACACAGAATTCGAAAGTCATCAAGCATTCGAATTTTCTCCAGTATTTCCGGATATACAGCCCATGCTTAGTAAGTTCTGTGAAAGCTTTAAAAAACTTTTAGAAGTTAATAAACCCCGAGGAGCATTAGACAACCTTAGGCATTGAGAGGGCGGGACCGGTTGCGCGTTGCGCCTACCTTATTGGTCAACCAGCCCAAAATGACCAGTAGCAGAAAGGATTACGGTATCCTTGCTACACTAAACTCATTATGTTTCATACCTATCACATTTTGATGCAGTTCATTGACTGTTGAGACTTTAAGCTTGAGATAAGTGTTTTTTGAAAGTTTTACAGGCATTCAGCTTCAAAATTTTTTCTACGCCTAATTTTGAAAATGGAAATGGAAAAAAATCAAAAAGTCATTCCAAATGTGTTTCAATTCCATTTCTGACGCTTTTAAAGATGTAGACATACTCTATACGAAGGAGAAAATTTACTATTTAGACATCCTCTATACCATAACCATGAAAACGGTAACCAGCGCTGGAGCATTCCAACCTCTGTTCAATCTTATCGGTGATGATGGCGAGAGTGGAATGCGAAAATTTGTTGATGATTCGAAGTTCGATGAAGAGGCGGTGAGCAAAAAAATTAATAGTTTCTTCAATATTAGAATGGTCCTCTGTCAAATTGCCTTTGCAGCGTCATGAATTTGACGTAGATGCAGTGAATCTTGGTCCATTACGGGAACTTGAAGTCAAAATTGAGGGAGATGAGGTAATCAAAAAAC